CTAACTCCTTCTGCCTTTCCTTTATTATCTGTTATACAGGAGATACAATCATGCCTTAGTATTCCACGTACAAATCTATACATATGTGCATTAATAAAAGGATCACACTACCTACGACTGAAGAGCAGCCTCCTCAGAGGCAGAACTATGCAGTTTTTAAAGGGCACAATACAAAACCTCTTCTATCACTTACACCATTTTTATGCTTTCAAAGCACTTCACAAATATTAATTAGTTCTAAATAAATTCTAATTATTTCTAAGAGTGGCCCTAGCAGATCTGTATCATCTGGTGTGAAATCTGACTTCAGTGAAGTCAACAGCAACAGCTCCTCAGACCTCAGCAGAGCTGACATTTCACTTGCCACTGCTAAAATGCTGGGAGTCACGTCTATTATCCAGTAAGTATCACAAGTAGAGCTCATCTAGTGATAGCAGTAGTTATGGAATGCTGGCTGAGAAGAAAAAAAGGGTTAAATGATCTGAACCAATCTACAGAGCCCAAATGTGGGAGAAGCTTCGGGAAATGCATTAACTGGGCTCTGCTTCCAACATCAGCTCAAATGGAAGGTGCTCATCTGCTGCTAAACCATTTTAAATACTTGGGATACTGGGGTTAACTCCTAATATCTGCTCACGCTGCAGGTCACTAACTTAGTTAATCCACTTTGAAACATCAGCTCTTCATAAAAAGATTTGCATTATAGGTCTATATAAAAACTACATATTACGTGTACAATAAAATACATATAAAGAGGTTTGCATAGAAGTAAAAATACTTAAATTTCAAATAACACACACTGCATGGATAACTAATCATGGAGCAAGTAAGTAGGTGACCAGTATTTTTCTTGCTAATTGTGGATAATACAGTCCATCATATACTGCCAACTTATTCTTCTCATAAGAAATAAATACTTTGGTTGTAATAATATTAAATATTAATATTAATATTAAATATAAATAATATTAACTATTTTATATATGCAAGTATAACTAGGGATGGAGGTTAAAAATCAACTGGAAGCATAGATTATGAATCTTTTTCTCAAATAGAAATGTAATCCTAATAGAAGTTCCTCTCTTTATCTCTGCCAACTTTACCACCACACAATATGCCATAGAGAAAAAAGGGGAAGTGTCAACTTGTGTAAATTGTCCCTTATGTAATGCAAACCATCTGTTTTAAAAAAAACAAAACAAAATGAAAAACCAAGCCACTCCCAAGCATGATCTGCTGTGAAGAAAAAGAAAGAAAAGGGAATTTAGTGCATCAAATTGGAAGCCAAAGACCATGACCTGCCATGTAACCACGGAGAAAATATTTACCCCTCTCCTCCCCGTATTTATCCAATTTTGAAAAATATTTGGAAAAGTATAATTGAATAATTTGCTTTGCACATATTAGAGATTGATATTGTTGTATTCTTTTGAGCATTTCATCTGTCTAGAATGTCTTCAATCAGGCTGGAACACAAGTAGAAGAAACCTCTTTGTTTTCAGTAACATATCACACAACGATGCCACCACTGGGTCAGAAGGTACCTGAGTCCTCAGTCACTGGAACCTGGCAAAGCATGGGGGGATGAAGTATCAGCATACTTCTGCCCTGTTCCTCTACTCTTCTTTAGGTTATCTGCCATGAGGGGAGTCTAAACAGACCACTGTTATTAACTGTTACAACTGTATTTGTGTTGTTTTCAGCCAAATCCTCAGAAAACAAAGTACACATAGAGCAAAAAGTACTCATCCTTTCCAGTCTCTCCCTGGGTAAGTCACCAGTCTGTCGGAAAGCACTGGCTGAGGAATCCTACCACATACATTCTCTGAAACCACAGGGAGACATACATTTGACCCTCTGTTGGGAGGGACAGGTGAATCAGAAAGCACTGAGTTAATTTGATCTAATTATCTAAGCTGAATGAAAGCAGAACAACAGTATAACTAGCTATTCATAATTTTTTCTCTTTTGCTGACCTCAAGGTCCTCTTCCAGCTGCAGCTGTGCTGGCTGAAGAGCCCACCATCTCCAACCACAGCTCCCTGCTAAAGGTTACCGCTGTGACCAAGCTGCTTGTTTAATCCCTTCCCAACACGCTTCCATGAAAATGAGCCAGCTCAGTTTAAGCAATTTTAACACAGGGTCCTTGCTATCCCAGCCTGGACGGAAGCAAGTTAGGGAGTGCTTAACCAAGAAGCTTGGCCTGTATGTTGGAAGTCTGAGGCACAGTGATGAGCAGCTGGAAGTGGTTCTCTCTGGGGCTGCAGACAGCAGCAACCCAGCCCTCAGGTGTGACCAATTCACCAGCTAACTAGAGAGAGACCTGCAGCACCCTTAGATAACATGCTGCTGATTTTCAGACACACTGTTAAGATCTGACTTTTCAAAGGAGCAGGATGCATAACAGTATGAATTTCCCTTTGAAGGTGTCCCCAACAGATATCCAACATCAACGTTCTCAGTATCATTAGTTAGTTATATAGTCATTATTAGTTAGTTAGCTGTCGCAACAATTCTCTCTTCCTTCTCCCCCAGATTTCCAAAACTCCCTTTTATTGAGGAACAATATAAGAAAATTTTCATAGTTTTCTGTTATTTGTGACTGGAACTGAATTGTCCCACAACTATTTTTATCGTTCCTATGTGCAGGTTGCTAATGCTAATAAATAAAAGAATCATTGCCAGAGAATTCCTATTAATCAGCCATGCAAAATGATTCTGAAAAAAATATATCAGTCCAGAAAAAACGGCAGGTTTTCCAAAAAGGCCAGGAAGATGTAGAAGTGAGGGCCATTTTCATAAGGCACATAAACTAAATTTAGAACATAGAATGGCAGTCATGTGAAAATGCTTCTAGAGGGGTCTTCTGAAGTTCCTAGGAAGGTCTTGCATCCAAAAGCAAACTCAGTGAAAGTTAGGTATTTAACCTGTTCAGAAGCTGAGCAAATTAATCTGCTCCATGTTCCCTGTTGCAGTTCTGTGCTGGTGCCCACTCGGCTCAGTTCAAGCCAGCAGAGGTGACTGCATGAAGTTTACAGTACAAGCATTTCCTAAATATCCCTGAGACTTGGATCCTAGTGCTTTTGTCACTCTTCAAGCGAAGATTTGGTCTCCTAAATCACTCAGGTGCTTTACAAAGTTTTATCCAAAGCTCTTTGGTTTACAGTCTATTACATCCTTGTCAAGTGGACTGATACACACTAGGGGAAGCAGAAAAGTGGGAGAAATATATTTTAATGGTCTGTCAAAAACATTACTTGATGTGAACATGTAGTTTCAAGGTAGCTAGGTTTTTCATTGCTACAAGCTTTCTAGGTGTAGCTAAATCCGTATATGCTTTTTTGTTTATACTAAACTGTGAGTGAAAAGAAGAAATCCTTTGGACTACTTATCACTTTTCCTCAGCTTCTCAGTCAAATTCAGTGAAACCTGCCAGGGAATCACCAAACACAGAGCTGTTTTTCCACTGGCTTCTGCTCAGTCCTAGACCTTGGCATGCAGTTAATTCCAAGCCTTACTGCCAGGAGCAGTAGCAACTTTGCTCTTTTTTCTTTCTTTTTCATTTTCAAGGTTACACAAACATCTAATGTCATATCTACTTCACAGATGTGAGGAACTATAGGTCTATCTTAAGAGTTAATGTGCATGCAGTAAAAAGAAGGGAAAAAAACCATCTCAACTCTTTCTGTCCAAACTGGACTTCATTAACATGGAACTAATTTAATCTGCCAGATATATCTAACAGGGTACTTTCCTGACCTTTTCCAGGCCTACAGTTATGGTAGCATTCACAGTCAGCGTGGCTTTCAGTTAAGCATTCTGTAATGTGAATCACTACTTCTCCCAGCTGAGAGGGACTGCATGTGAAATCACTGGAAGAACTGAATGAGCCTACATTTGGCACTGGAGCTGCTGAAGGACATGAAGTGTTTTGAGCAATAATTTTCAGTAGTGGTCCCAGTCTGTACAGTCTTAGGGAAAGGTATTAAAGGACAAAGACACAACAGTTCGCACTCAAGAACTACAATGTTCAGAAACTGAAAGAAATGTTTTTATGTCCCAAGTTTACGAAACAGCTGCAGTGGCAAGTGCTGAGTAATTCAAAACACCTGATGAATTCATGAGTTAGTTAATGACACAGATGCATACACTGACATGGATATAATAAAGCTAAACATCCATGCTAGAGACAGAGAAGGGTAGAGCAAGTAAGTCCTAGATAACTCAGTAGGAAACGGGTGGCAGAAGAGTTGCATAAGCACAAATACGACAGCAAGTCCATGAAATTCATGCTCTAGTTAAATCTATTCATGGACATATAGTTCCTCAATTATTCCTTAACTTGTATTTATTATCATCCCGTTGACAGGAACATGAAATCCTATAGAAGGCTTAAATAAAATTAAAAAGAAAATCTGGGGATTGTAGAGAACAATACAAATCTTTCAAAGATTAAAAAAATAGATGCTGTATTTTTTAGTGCTAGGCTCTCATAAATACACTCATAGTTTGTGTTAGTCCATCAAACTGAAAGGCATATGCTATCTTTGATCTCTGTGCAGAACCCCCGTTGAGATTAATGTGAGTTCTGTGTGAAGAAAGAGACTAGAATAGGCCCTCAGTTCACAAATAGTAAGCAGGCTGCTTCAGGAAAAAACATGTTTTCTTACAACAGTGTTGAAATTTATTTGGAAGTTTCAAATAGCTTCTCAGATGCAAGTTCGTATGTGTGGCCATGAGCATGTTCACTTGTCAAAAAGACCTGTCAGAGAGAAGGTGCACAAATCTACCTGCTGTGTGAAACGTTTTGCTGTTATGTTGAAACACATAATTCATCTCTGACCACCTTTTCTCACATGGTAACGACTAATCCTCTGTTTCACCCTCATCTCTGCAAATTAAAGGCTTTGTCCATCAGAGAGGTGATACTTTTATACAGACTAGCATGAAACTGTGCCCTGTACCCGTTTCCAGCTAAAAAAAAAAATCTACAGGACTTACTGCATCCCGCTTTGTAGCTGAAACCAGGAGGAAGAAGGAATCCTTGCTGTGCAGCTGCTGCTAGGGTTCGTTGGTCTGGAGGAAATACGGGAATCATTAATGGAGGCAGCTGACCCTGGACCTGCTGAACAGGAGAGGGAGAATCAAACACAGAATTTTTTCCGCAGACAATGTCTGCTAACACCCTTTCTTCTACTTCTGCTCTGAGGTCAGGTTGGCATACGCCTCTCTGTAACGGGGTGTCCCAGTAGCATCCACTATTCAGCTTCATCTTGATCACCAAACTCTTCATAGGAGTTACATTTATCCAAAATAAATTAAAAGGTTCCACATATCTATATCATAGCTATATCCATATACCTCCATATATAGTTCCACATATATGCATACCTATATCCCACTTAATTACTCCTCCCCACCCCAGTACATGATGACTCTCTGACTGTAGGGTGGTGTTTTCTCCTCTTTTATTGCACTGCGTAACACTATCTCTGCCTCAGACAGTAGCTTTCACCCTGACTGAGCCCAAACACAAAGACATTCCTCTAAGAAGTACAAATAAGTGCATAAGTAGCAAACAGCACAGTCAGTACTATTTTTCTGCCCATACACATGTACTTTTTTGTGTAGGTGTAAGATAAGGTCTCTGAAATGGTAAGAAAAAAGGCTGAGACATTTTATTCAGAAATAAAACACAGCTACGTCTGAAGCATTAGCTGTTCAACTCTGCACAGCAACTGTACACAACCATGCAAGTTAGGAAGTGGAAAATATTATATTAAGTGGATACTGCAGGGGACTTAGGACATGCAGAAATTAGTCATCAAAACTGGAATTTGGCCATGGCACAACATCTAATACTATTGCTTTTACCCAGTTCTGTCAGAGGTTTTAATTGCTAGAAATGGACATCGTCTTTGTATTTCACAGAGATGAGAAACAAAAAAGTTTTCTACATTAAAATGCTGAATGACTAGTTTTAATTAAAAAACCCCACAATACTGACCAGATCAGTCAATAACGGGAGACTGACTCAAGTTTTAAGAGAGCTTGTCTAGATTTTTGATGGCATTGTAAAGATAAGGTACCAGAGGCAGATGTGTTATCGAAGACTGCGCTTTAGTTTGTGATCCACAGCCTTAAGAAACTAGGAGAATTAAGAGTGTTGATAGACAACCTGCTATGAGCACAGGCATGAGAAGGTGTTACTCCCTTCATTATTGCCTGCCCAGCAGAACTGGCAAAAGAGAACCAGCACGAGCTCCTTGGCTGCCACAATTCAGACCACAGCATCTGCACTTAATTTGATTTTAGTTTAATCTCCTGAAAATCCAGGAGATGTCTCAGTTCACCCAACACTGTTACAAGGCATAAGAATGATACGAAATTTGGGATGATAACCTCTTAATTTACGCCAGGACCTGTCAACACCTCTGTGTGTGCTGACTGTATCTTTATAGCCTGAAATAATTTTCAGGGATGAAGTTCAAGACTGCTGTTGACAGAAATTCTTGCAGTGGGAGATTAAGATTGGGACTGAAGCTGGAGTAGATGTAGCTCCAGACACTGAAGGAGCTTGATCCATTTTTTGTTACTTCAGTATTTTCCTTTCTATTCCGATCCTGTTAACTGTAAGACATACATACTTTCAGCTGGATTGCTGGAGAAAAAATTACATAAAATGTGATTTGTTCTCTATCCCCACTCAGTCATCCTAGTACAGCCCAATATCTGCCTTTTCTTCATGTGTTTATTTTTTGTTTGTTTTGTTTGGGGTTTTGTGGTTTGCTTTTTTTTTAAAGACAAAGACAAAGTAACTATATTCTTTTAGAACAAAAATGAACAGCCGTGTGGAATTTTTGCATAGTACTCTTCTTCGGCAAAGAGCCACAGAACTTTTTTTTTTAAATGGTTTCCAAGGATGAAAGTGACTTTGCCAAGCAAAGAAGCTTCAAAACAGGACTCAAAAACACTAATAGAAAGACAGATGGTTCTACTAAGAGCTCTGCTGCCAAAAAAAATGTTAAAAAAAAGTGAAAAAAATGGAGTGATGTTATTGAAGCTGACTGCAAAGTTCTCTGATGACTGCAAATACTCTTGTCCCACTGCAAGTGTTAACTCTGCCTCCAGGGCTAATATAACTAAAGCACCACACACACACAAATTGTCATTGCCAAGCCCACAATGTAGCACAAGTCTGCACTTGATTCCAAGTGACTGCCAAATACACGAGCAAAACACCACACTGAAAAATTCCCATTTAGGAAAACATTTACCAGGAAAATGCCCTTTCTTCTTAACTCTGATTGCTGCATTTCATTTTTTTTAAATTGCTGCTCCTCTTTATCTCTCCAAGGGGCCTTATACCTACTAATTTCAAATGACACAACCCCAGTTGCATTAAGGAGGTAAGAACTATAGAGTGATGAAGATGGTTTGCATGGATACAGAAATAACGCAGTCAAAACAATGTGATTTTCATTCCAGGATGGAATGTATGTAGCAGCACTCAAACAGCTACACTTCATTTTCTCCTAAATATAAATAAATGCAAACATTAGTTTATTTTAATCCAATTACCTGACACAATACAATGCAAATTACGGACTCTTCGTTTTTAAGGCTCATTTAACCACTACATCTTAACTTTTGTTATGTTTATTATTATTAACTAGAATTGCTGGGATATAACTGTTTCAAGAGGCACCAAATACAGGCCCTCCTGAGTTTTATATGAATGGTACAAAGGGCATTTCTCTCTTTTTTTTTTTTTTTTTAGCCATTACTATGTCAGTTACTTCTCTCTAATGACTTTTATTATATGCCTTACATACTTTCCAATGTTTTCTGGATGGTAACTTCTCGATACTGCATTTCTAATTTGAACATAATAGACTGCAAATCAGAACTGTTTTCCAGACCCTTCAATTTGTTCTGCTAATGGACATATGTCCATAAAAAGAAATACCTCTTCAAAAATCTAAGAATGTACACAGCTACCAAGATTCTCCACTTGACAGTCTTTCTACGTTATTACCTTTTCTCAGTTCTAATTTCCTAAAGGTGAAAACTGTATTTTAAATCCTTAGAAAATTCCCAATAGATTTTATGGGCTACAATTTCACCTTGTAACTTCTCATCTACTTTATGATGTTGGTTTGGACGATACAGATACAATCTTCCAAGGGCCTGTTTTTTCACTACACATACTGTTGCCATGATGTCAACCAACCACACAGTTCCCTGATCTTCCTTTTAATTGAATGCCACATTAACCAGAAGTATTCTTGTACTGCATGACAACCTGCAGGTGCATGGTACACACAGAAAAGGCATATAATGAACATAAAATAACAAAGAAACAAACCGAATGTCGTGAGACCAAAATATTCTAAACAGTTGATTCACTAGTCAAGGAGTTCATACTTTCATATCTCTGACAAGTGATTTGGAGCAAAAGGGAAGCCCACGTTACACTGAAAGACGTACCACTTGACATTTAGATTGTGAGAAATAACACCCCTTAAATAAGCTGATGCACAAGAGTTCAAACAGACCAAGAAAGTAAAGGTTCTCTAATTCATAATGAGCACAGTAAGACATCTTCCATAATGGCAATGTATTTTAGGAGCATGAGAAACTCCAACCAAGTTTAACCTAGAGCCAAACCAGGGAACCTTCACACTTGCCACTGAAAATCCAAAAACGAGACCATCCCTGAAGAACTTATCAATGTAAAAACCAGTATGACCATATCACAAGAAACTAATAGTGTATCTACTGTCCAAGTGGGAAACTGAGGCACCCACAGCTGCCTGTAGAGACTTTTCATTTTGGAAAGTACCTCACTGTATCTTCATTTGTTTCAGGGCCTTTGAAAAACCTGGCCCTAAATGACTCACCATATCAAAAGAAATTTGTTAGCAAACTTGGAACCAACTCAGGTTGTTGAAGCCTGGGCCAGCATCTTCAAAAATCTGTGCATGTCCTTTATGACTTGACCATAACAAACCCAACCACACAAAGCTGTGCATTCAGTGTAGCCAGATTAGATTCCCAGCTTCATTATAACTGTAGTATTTTCGCCTAAATTCTTGTATCCTACCTACTTTTAGGAACATACTATGGTTACCACAGCTACCTAAGCACTAAGCAGTATGTTTTTAACAGTTACCCCTACTGTTTGTTACTAGCTCCTGCTGTGACTTAAATAAATTTAGATTGCAAACACTTGACAACTACAGTTCTACTCTATTTTCTGTAAAGTGTCACGTGTGCTTTGGGTCACTATGTAAATAGCTACACATACAAAATACTTTAAAGAAACATTAAGATTGCAAAATCAGACATTCAAATCTTAGGAAATGCCAGAATCAGGGTAGCATGCATGACCTTATGTCCTTTATGCCCATGCATCCTGACAAAATCTTTATCTGAAAGTTCACAGTTTCCTCTCCCTCACACAACTCTTGCTTAATCTAGAAGGCTTATAATATTTCTCAAATAACATAAACCCATACCTTCAACAAACCTAAGCCCCTAACACAGCAGCTGCTATTAGTTTTATTTATTTTCTCTTCATACCCTTTCACCAATTTCATTTCCGCAGTCGCTCATTACATGTTTATTAGGATCAGCTTTTATATAAGTTTTCCTCTCTCCAAGGTAAATATCTCGACGCATTTCTCGGCATCCACACAGAACACTTTCCACTGAGGGGTGGATACTGCTCGTCCACCCACCTCTAGTTCTTCAGAAGCAATTCTATCCATTTTGGTGAGACTGGTGACGGAGTAACGAATTACTCAGTGTGAATAAGAATGGCTGCTAAAAAGCAACGCTCTCTTCTCTACAAACTGACAACACTGAGCAGTACTTTACTCTTGAACTGTTCAGCTGATGTGCCCTTCAGGAGCTGCATGAGTATCTTTGCTGAAATAGAGTCTTACGTGGCTTCTTCACGTAGAAGCGTGGCTAATTTTTATTTTCATTTGAGTTATTCTCAGCTGCCTCAAATAAGTTCAGATTTTACATTCCTAGAACAGTGGATGCACATGAATTATTCCATTAGCTTCAAACCGTTGTATGAATATCTTCTTGCCTGCGATGTGTTTGTAAGTTAAG